GTTCAGGTCTTTCATTCATAGGGTCGCTATGAGTCGCAAACGACTCGACGGCACATAACAGCAACAACATTCCAGATTTTTTTAGCTTCTGCCCACATTTTGAATTTCTTATTATTTAGTGTTTTTGAAAATGAAGCGTATATATAAGCTTCCCTTGCTCCCATTGCTGTTAAGTCAGGCAGAATCATAGCAGTTTCGTAGACAAGAGTATTACTGCCCCACCAGTTGGTTTCCAAGGCCGCAGGTGTGCAGGAACCCACTGTCGCCTCTTTGTCCTGCAGAGCAGCTGGTGGATGGCAGCCTTTCCGTTTGTGGCCTAATACTTTACCCACTTAATCACCAGTGTACTTCTTTACTTGCTGTGAACTGTGCTAGGTGCTGCAGGGTTATTGGGATGAGTGGAGGTGGCACTTGATATGGACCCAAAAGAAGTAAACTTAGGAGAGGTGGAAGTGATGTGAAGGCTGCGGGGCAGGGGGGAGGTCAGCTGACCCAAGGTAAGAGAAGGAAGAAGAGGAGTGGGGGGAGGAGCGATTCCATTTGATGAGTTCTCTGTGTTTGACAGAAGGGTTTGCTAAGCCCTAGAAATGCAGCTTTGAGCAAAACTTGGTGTTTTTGTGGAATTTACTATCTGTTTTATGTTTTGGCTGTCTTTCCCTCGCCCTCCTCCCTTTTAGAAGAATCTTAAGAATAAAGCACTGAGAAAGCAGGAGTGGGAGATTTGTTGAGCTGGAGGTTGTGTCAGCCAGAGAGGCCCCACCCAGAATGTGAAGTTTGGAGAAAGAAACAAAGGTCAAATCATGGCTAGTATCCCAGGACAGCAGCGGTGAGGACCTGAAGGGGAGCATGTCTCCAGTGTTGGGGAACAGTGAGGAGGCCATTGGGACTCAGAAAAGACTTTGGTAAGCCGGAGGAGCAGGGCTTGCAAGGACTTCCAGCTTTTTCTCAGCGATGGGAAGTCACTGGGAGCTATCTTGAGCAAAGGCCTGGTTTACTCGTGCTTTAATGGTGGAGGCAGGGGAGAGAAAGACAGGTCGGAAGCTCGTTGTGATGACCTAGGTGACCACCTGTGGAGACAGTACAAAGCCGTGGAAGATCTTGAAGGTTGGAGTCAGCAGGATTTGCTGATGAGAGGATGTGGAGTCGAGGATGAGCCTGAGGATGTAAGTCTTGGAGTCACCATTTGCAGAGCTGGGGAAGGTTACTGGAATAGAGTGTGTGTAGAAGGATTGGCTTGTGGCTCCCAGCAGTCCTCTAAAGCAGCTTTTAGCTTCCTCGTCTTACTAATAATGACACCAGTTAAGAAAAGTCTACACTTTTTGGCAGCTCCCTTTGTGCACTGGTTGGCACATGTCTTTGCAAATCTTTTGCTCGTTGCAGGCTCCTGGGGCATAAAGCAAATGGTGGCAATGCTCGCCACCCTTCACTCAGCAAGTCCAGCCAAGTCCCCCTGACTTCCTCCAGTGACCCTGGCTTGCATCCTTTTTGACCCTTCCTGCTGAGGTGATCAAATCTTGCAGATTCACCCTCTGGAATGTCTCCTCCCTCCCATTCCATTCCAGCTGCCCCTCAAGTTCAGCTCAACCTTCACTACAATAATCTTCCTTTTTTTTTACTCAGTGTTTTAAGATCCCATTGGTGGAATTAATAGTTACTTGATTCTTCAAGGTAGTAATTCCTGTGTTCCCCTATGCAATCTTGGCTGCCCCTAGCAGGCAGACAGGAAGCCGGAGGGACTTTTTCTGGCATCTGTAAGGCAAACGGTAACCGTCTTCTAAACTGCTGCAAAGTAGCGTGTTACTGACAGCACTCCTCAGTCCAGAAAGGCCAGCAGGTGTGGAAGACATTTCTTTAAGGGAGAGATTTCAGTTGTAGTCTCTGTGATGCAGAAGATGTAGGTGAAGATTCCACGACGTAAGGATGGTGGTTTGGTGATGGCTGTATACAAATACAGCATCACCTCCACCCACTGAAAGCAAAGGATGGATGAGGTTATTCCTACACACACACACACACACTCTCACTCTGTGTGTGTGTGTGTGTGTGTGTGTGTGTGTGTGTGTGTGTTGTGTTTCTCTCTTCACCCCCCTCAATGGTGTGACACACAAACACACATTCTCTCTCTTCTCTCTTTCCCCAATCAGATGTTCGTCTTAGGAGCCATACAGAAAGGATTCATGTTAGGACCTGAGTGACGACACTGTGCTCAGGCTGTTTGTTGATAGAGTTTAATATTTTTGTTTGTGTAAAAATAAAACATGAGGGAGCTCTGGTGGCCTAGTGGCAAGGAGCTGCAACTACAATCCCATAGGCGCACGGTTCGAATCCACCAGATGCTCTGCCGGGGAAGGAGGGATAATCTCCTCCTGTATCAGTCAGATCTGATTTGACGGTACACTCACACAAAAATAATAAATTTTAAAAAATTAAAAAAATAAATAAATAAAACATGAGCTTTAACATTTTCGCCCTGTACCCAGTGGGGTTGTCTTTTGGAACCAATGCCCTTGTTTGCCTTGGAGGCCAGGCTGAATAATCTGAGAATGAGGAGATTCAGAAGATGTTTGAGCACGGGAGATGGTTAACACTTGATTTTTAGGCAAGATGATTTGGGGATGAGGTCTAAGAAGGCCTCAGGGGTGTTGGAAAGACACTAGCGATGCCAAGTCCTTTGTGTCCAAACTGAGTGTGAAGAGAGGATTGTTCTGAAGGTGTGAGTTTGGGAGAGTGTGGGTGCCATGGGGGTAGGTGGGAAGAGTGGAGGGGCTGAACTTGGATTTGTAGGGCGGGTGATGTGCATCATAGAACTGAAATGAAAAACTGGAGTTAGAGAGTCCCCAGGACTAGAGGCTGGGTATCGGAGCGACGTTCTTAGTGGGTGACACTGCCAGCCGTTTCAGGAAATGGGGTTGTCTGGCTACAGTTTTTTTAGGGGTAAAAGAGCCTACCAATAAATAATAGCTGCTTGAGTTCAAATCTTAGTTGTACTTGATTCCTACGGAGTTTTACTTATTTAAGCAGGTTACACTCGGGGCTTCTTTGTTTGAATAATTACAAGCTCAGTAATTCTGTAGACTACTGTTACATGTATACTGTGATACATAGTAGTGATGGAGTTGGCTGCTGCCCAAGATGGTCGCAGGATACTTTTTCTTGTGTCTGGCCTCTCCCTGTCAAGTGTCACTTCTCCCCCACAGCTCCTGGGCCCCAGCCTCCCAGAAATAGGGTCCCCTTTTCATTTGTGAGTTTAGATTAGAAACGAGTTTGCTAAGATTGGTTGGCATTCTGGTTAGGCCTGATGAGGCCTAGAGGAGGAAGGTGTCTGAGTAACGGCGTGAGCTGTGATGTGTTTGTGCCCAGCTTCATCCATTGCTGCTTTTGTGGATCTGGGCAAATGAACCACTTCTCTGTGTTTCTCTGTTTCAGTTCCTTATCTATGAAATGGAAATGTTAATACTGCGTAATAGGATTATTAGGATAATTAAATGAAGACAGATTATGCCCAGGAGGACCTTGTACCTTGCACAGCAAATACCAATAAATGAGGTAACCGGATGACTTGTGCAGACCGAGGTAGCCCTCTGTAATAAATGCTGCTCCTCATGGGAAAGGTCACCGAGATGCAGTCCCTGCATTAGGTAGAAAAGCCTTGCCTCCTGGACCCTCTTCATCTTTCGCAGGCTCCTCTACCTCATCCTGTCGTTAACTGAATGCCGTGTACCTTTAGCTGGTCACTGACACCATGTCTGTGTTACTCACCCAGCCAAATCCTTGCCTCTGGATATCCCAGCTTTCATTCCTTGGTCTTTTAGGGCAATGTTTATGGAGTCATCCTAGGACAAGTGACCTAACAAGTTTTTCTGGTAATCTGCTGATAATGTGTTTTGTATCAAGACCCCCTGGGCACAAGTGAGCAAGTCCTGAGGATGTTTGACTATATAGTGAAAAAGACACTTTGGAAATAGAGTATGATAATCCTGGCCTCAGACAAAAGGACTATCATCTTTAGGGTTTGCGACTAGGCGGTGGTCAAAGTTAAAGGAACTGCTGTCAGAAAAGGCAGGCTTTACACATCCAGCATGGATTCCAGACTCGTGGGTGGGGTAACGCTCTGCTTTCAGGCCACTCTATTTATGCACACAGCTGTGTCCGATGTTAAATTCACATTCAGAAATCAATGCCTGTTGAATTGCTAGTAATCCTCAAAGGATAAATAAGCAGCTGAAAGGGTGAGCCAGTTTAGTAGTTTCTCAAAAGGTTAAACAAGGGGTTATTATTTGTTCCATGACCCAACCAGCCTGTACCCTTGAGAGTTGAAAATACACAGATCCACGTGAAAATGTGTCTACGATGTTCACTAACAGCAGATAGTACTTAGATAAACTTAGCTATGAAGTGGAAAGGCAGGAATTGGACTTAAGTTGCTGTAGATTGGTTAGTTCATGCCTTTTGGATATTAATCAAGCAATCTGACTTGTTTCAACACCCATTCCAGGGGGCCAGTGAATTCCCTCAACTGTGTCACCAATCTCTACTGCTCTATCCTGCTTAGCTGAGGGTGGAACAGAAGTTCCGGTGTTAAGGTGACAGTTGAGAGACTCAGATCCTAGCTTACTTAAAGGACCCATGACCTGTGGTCATTATTAACTTAATAGATGATTCTGATACACACTAAAGTCTAAGTACTGGTGTGGGCTCTGGGATCCCAAACATCTGTGTCACCTGGTGGGACATGGCATTCATCTAGGACCCCACAATTGGAGCCGGGAAGGAGCCTTTTCAAAATAGGTGTTACCCCTTCCACCTCTTGTGTTCCTAGTCCTGTCTCAATGGCATCTTCCCATTCCCACAGTTGGTAGGTTGTCCTCTTCCCAACCAGCAGGTATCTTACTCATTCCTGCAGCCTCAGTTACAGTGACTGGCCTGGTAAATGTTGTAGATTTAAAACTGCCCATTGAATGTAAGACTGATTGCTGGGTCAGCTGCCTGATTGAGTAACACTTGTTCTTTTATCTTTTACCAGGATTTCAGAGCATGACCTTAAATCCATAGACACACATTTCCCCCTGTTGTTCCAAAGCAAATATCTGAACTTTTGAATGAAACTAGATCTTTGGCCTGAGCTCTGGTGGCCTAGGGAGTGGCACTTCTGGTGACTCAAAGCCAGTTTCTCCTTCTTGGGAGAAGGCTGTGTGATCCCTCCCATGTGATTTAGTCTCTGACGACCCACGGGGCAGGGACAGCCGTGATCAGTTCTGACTCGATGGCAATGAGTGTATCAGAGACCTTTGTTAATTGTGAACTGACCCTCCAGCAGCTTTTCAGAGGCAGCAAATCACATGGAAGGAGATTGCCCATTTCACCCATGGTGGATTTGAAACCGTACCTTTGTGTTGGCAGTGCACTGCCTTACCAGAGTTCCCTTATGAGACACCTTGAGACCAGTAGAAAGAAAAAGATGAGTGAGAGGCCCATTGCTCTATTTGGCATGGTATTGTGTGAATCTTTCTGATGTTGATTCTTTCTTTGATGTTGATGTTGATTTTTTCCTGCCTCTTTTCAGAACAATGCTAAAGTCGCCGTGCTGGGGGCTTCGGGAGGAATCGGGCAGCCCCTTTCGCTCCTCTTGAAGAACAGCCCCCTGGTGAGCCGCCTGACCCTCTATGATATTGCTCACACGCCTGGAGTAGCCGCTGATCTGAGCCACATTGAGACCAGAGCGCATGTGAAAGGTATGAGGTGTGCTGCCCCCTAGAGCCTTCTTCACCCCTACCTGTGAAACTAGGTGTTTAGAGACTTGGAGGTTCCCCTTTAATTTTAGAATTAAACCTTTTACAAATGAGTATACCTTTTGGGCTTGGGTCAATAAAATTTCATTAAACAGCAGTCGTTAGGAAAAAATGGAAGTCTGATCTTCTAATCATCTTGTTTCTTCTAATTTGACCTGTGTAAGGAGCATGGGAAGATGTAGGTTTGGGGAGCAGGGAGTTAGAAGTGCAGTTTGGCAGCGTGCTGCAGGTTCCCTTCTCACCCCCTGTGCCAGCCTCTCCAGGCATGGCCCCCTCGGGGACATCGTCCCTTCCAGAGCAGGGCTGTGTCTGCTCTTAGGTATTCTAGAAGTAATTCATAATTATTTTCTTTTCACATTATAGCTTCGTTTTCCGTGTCACTCAATTCTTGGTAAAATCATTGTTAAATTTGTACTAGACTGTTTCCTAATGTTTGTTCGACTGCAAATATAAATTGTGATAAAATTTAGATCATGGTTGCACTAGGAAAATCTGTCAGAGACCCTCCAGAGTACTAAAAAGCAGTGATTTCAGACTAGAGACTAAGGTGTACCTGATCCAGGCCATGGTCTTTGCAATTACTTGTTATGCATCAGAGAGCTGGACAGAAGAAGAATCAATGCCTTCAAATTGTCATGCTAGAGAAGAGTCTTGAACATACCATGGACCCTCAAGAAAACAAGCAGGTCTGTCTTGGAGAGGGTGAAACCAAGTTTCTCCTCGGAGGCTAGGATTTTGAAGCTCCATCTTAGATACTTTGAGCACGTGGCCAGGAGGGATCACTCCGTAGAGAAGGACATCATGCTTGGAAGGGTGGAAGAAGAGCACAAGAGGGGAAGACCCCGTATAAGATGGATTGATACAGTAATTGGGGCTGCGGGGGTAGATGTGTCAAAATCAGTGACACTGGCTCAGGACAGGCAGGCTTCAGAGATGCTGTACATAGGGTCACTGTGAGTCACAGGTGACTCGACAGAACATAATAACAAGAAGTACCTTCATCTTATTTTAAAGTTTTTCCTAGAAAAGGCCAAATCATTATCGAGAAAGATTATACCAACAGAGTATGAGGGTGCCCTGTTTGATTCATGAGACGTAGTACCGTATTGCTGAGTGAAGACTCAGTTACAAAGCAGGAAGTGACTGTGTTAATACATGTCCCTCTAGTTTCTCAGAATTTTCCCACTTTCTTTTTTACTTTAAAGATTCATTTCTGAAACCTTCTGCAGGACAGAAAGGAGTCAGAATCCAAGCAGACTTAGAGCACTGGCACAGATTTCCTGGAAATCTTTGAAAATATGCTTTGTTTCTCTAAGATGATAGGAATCAAGAAGAGTCTTGTTCATGTGCCCAGAGCGTTGTTTGAAGTGTGCCTTCTGACCTGGTGCCTCAGTTCTGAATGATCATGGAGTGGAATAGCAGCCCTTCTAACTGGGGGCAGAAGACGACTTACAGGTGCTAGCCTGCAGAGTAAAGGCTAGCACGTGACTTGGTTTGGCTTTTTGGAAACAGATCAAGTTCAGGATTCCTGCAGGAGACTAGTCATTCTGAAGCGGGGGCCTGAGCCTGGCGAGGTTGGCAGAAAGTGAAGTAAGAGGGTACTCCCACCATCCAGAATTTGCCAGGCCCACAGGACAGTGTTTGTCAGCAAGGCAGGCTTTACAGGTGGGAGTTTCTGACCTTCCTAGAGGCTCTGGGTTGGCACTGAAACGAGTGGAGGCAGTCCCTCCGACTTTGCCCTCAGGGCCGTGTAGCCTCTCTAGCTGAGGAAAGGTGAAAGTGCTCTAATCTGCTGTCTTGTTGTAGGCTTCCTTGGGCCGGAACAGCTGCCAGACTGCCTGAAGGGCTGCGATGTGGTGGTTATTCCTGCAGGAGTCCCAAGAAAGCCAGGTATGTGTTCAAACGCCTTGCCTAACATCTCCCTGCAAGTCAGCTGCGATTGTGGTGTGTCTGATTCTGCAGCGGGTTTTCAAAAGCTTGGGAAAGCTTTCAAAGGCTTGGGAGCAGACTGCCCATCTTATTCTTGCAGAGCAACTGGTGGATTCAAACCATATATCTTGTCTTAGACTGCAGATGATTTAGACCTTGTGTCTTGTGTTTGTCTGGGGTTGACAGTGCAGTTCCTTACTACTAGGCCAGCAGAGCTCCCTGCAGGTCGTGTGAGAAAAGTCATTTTCCTTCCAAAAAGGATTTAATCAGAGCTCTGCTGCAGAAAAAATTCCAAAGGCTCCCCATTGCCCGTGGGATTAAAAAAATCTAAGCACTTGATTGGACTCGCATTCGAAGACCTTCCTGTGTTGCTGTATTTCTGCCTGCCTGGTCTCAGCCATTGCCAGGGTACCCCGTCCACACTTCCTTCTGCATGGAATGCCCTTTCCTCTACCCTTGGAAATTTTTACTAATCCTTGACAATATTTCTCAGAAGTCACCCTCCTTGACTCCCCCTCACCCACCACCTCCACGACCTTCTCTTGACACCTGTCACACCGTCTTGTTTTCTTAGGCTTACCTGAGCATGAAGGCCCTGTCTTGCTCACATTTGAATTTCCTGTAACCGCTAACATCCTGTGCTTGGTCACTATTTGGAAGCTTGTCTTTTGCTTTGTGAACATCTCAGATTGGGTCATTTCCAGGCATGACGCGGGATGACCTGTTCAACACCAACGCCACAATCGTGGCCACCCTGGCTGCTGCCTGTGCCCAGCATTGTCCTGAAGCCATGATCTGCATCATTGCAAATCCGGTAGGTGCTGCCGGACTTGGCACCTCTCTCTCAGAAGGGGGAGGCAGAGACTTGGGTAGAGGTTCACAGGTGTCAGCTAAATTGTGGCGGTGTGCTTAGGGTAAGAACAGTCAGGTGAACGCGCCAGGGTGGGTAAGTTGGCTGACTTAACAATAGGTCCTTAAGTTTCAGAGTGATCACTCCCAGCATGAACTAAATGTCTCTCTGTTAACCTCATTCTTCCACCTCCAATTGTGTGTGCCTTGGAGAAGGACATTGTTCTGTATATCCAAGTTTATCCCCATAGAAAAGAAACCCATTTTTAGGGTTCCTTTCAGCCTGTTAGTGGTGACCCAGTAACTCCTGGCTGTGTTCTGCTCGCCGTTTGCAGTCCCTCCTTTGTCCCCTTTCCCTGCACACCTGCACACATAGTCAGTCTCAAGCGCACACAGCCACCTAAGCACCATTCGCTGGGTTTTGTATATGACTTGCTTTTTCAACTCACAAACCCCAGTGCTGTTGGTTTACTGAACCAGAAGACCGCAGTGGCTTTAGTCTTACTTGGCAGTGCCCTGTGTTTTGCTTAACGTTACCCCTCTCTGTTCTTCCCTCCTGAGTGAATGTGGGCTCTGAGTACAGGGAGGATCGGGTAAAGGACAGTGACTGGTGGGTGGACTGAGGGGGTGGCCACTGCACAGAGCCTGGAGCTTGTGCTCCTGCCGGGTGAGTGAGGGTCCTGCTCTCCCAAACTACAGCTGTCTGTCCTCGGTGGTGATGGTTAGACGTAGACGGCAGCTGGGGAGCAGACTGACTAGGACTTTAATAGAAATCTAGCTACTACTGTGTTTTTTGGTGGTGTTTTTTAATTTTTATTTTTTTAACTCTCAGTTGTGGGATTTATTAAGGAAACTGATTGGGTATTAGGGAATAGCTTTTTATCCTTTTTATGTTGCAAGTACCATATTACTTGCCATACATGAGGTCGCATAATCACAACAGGAGTCCCTAAATGGTACAGCTGGTACCAACCAATGGATTAGTGGTTCAGAGCGACCCAAAGACACCTCAGAAACAAGGCCTGGTGGCTAACAGCAGTCTTCAAAAACAGCAACCTCATGTGCAAGTTGTTGTTGCCCCCATTTTACAGATAAAGAAACTAGCCCCTGGGAACTCTGGGTAACTCGCCCAGAGGTGCTGTGCTGTTAGCTAGGATTTGATCCTGGGCCATCTGAACTCTTAACCTCGGTGCTTTGCTGTCTTCTGTCGAGAATGACCATTTAGAATGCAGGCCCAGCCAGAGCAGAGGGTCCCCTGTAGCACCTTCATAACATTTTTCATATCAGTTGTTAAAGGATCTTGTGCATTTCAAGTATGGACTCAGGCCACCAGGGAATAGGCCCTCGCTGCAGGAAAGTGCTTTGCTTACCTGACAGAAGTGACCGTCCCTGAGTCCCTGCATTCACAGGACAATCTGACAGCTTAGCACATGTTAGTAGTTTAAAAGGTTCCTCTTTTAATTGCTTATCTGCGCTTTCCAAAAGCCGGCAAATGATGCGGTCTCTTGAATTTGCTAGGTTAACTCCACCATCCCGATCACAGCAGAAGTTTTCAAGAAACATGGCGTGTACAATCCCAGTAAGATCTTCGGTGTGACGACCCTCGACATTGTCAGGGCCAACACTTTTGTTGCAGAACTGAAGGTAAGGACCGTGGCACATTGCTCCTGGGTTATTTTTCTGAACCTTCCCCCCCACTTCCCCCACTCCGCTTATACGCAGGTGTTGGAAACACTCAGGCACTTCCAGGCTGCTGGCACTTCCTGTCAGGTGCCATCAAGTCGAGCACCATTTAAAGTGACCCCACGAACAGCAGCCCTGAGCCCTGTGCCGGACTCATCATCTCTGACACACTTGAGCCCATGGCTGCTGTCACTGTATCAGTTCATCTCATTGAGGGTCTTCCTCTCTTTCATTGACCCTCCACCTTTCCAAGCAACATGTGCCTCTCCAAGGAACAGCCTCCTAACAACATATCCGAAGTCTGGAAAACAGCTTTGCCATCTTGCCTCCAAGGAACACCCTGGCTGTACTTTTCCCAAGACATAGCTGCTTGTTCTCTTGGCAGTTCATGAGAGAATTCAGTCCTCTCCTCCAGCACCACAATTCCGAGGCATCAGTTCTTCTGTCATCCTTCGTCATTGTCCAGCTCTCAGATGCCTAGTGATTGCAAAAACTATGGCCTGAATCAGGCACACCTTAGTCTTCCAGTGAGCATCATTGCTCTGCTCTTGGGTATTTTGGAGTGGTCCCTGGCAGTGGACTTGTCCAGTGCAGTGTGTCTTCTGATCTTCTGGCTGCTGGCCTTCTTCCAGCATAACCCTTGGTGGGAAGCCACTCCTTGGTCTCCTTAGGGTATCCATTCACTGGACTCCTTGGGGATAATTCTACCCAGTACCTGCCTTGACTTGGCTCCTGCTGTCTCACCATCCTCCCTGGTGCCGTCAAGGGTTCGGGCTGCGCTTTGTGCCCTGGGTCTCACTCAGCGTCTCACTGGCTGTGTTTGGGTTGTGCTCCTCCAAGCCTTCCCCTTTTCCATTGCCCCTGAAAACTGGCACTGGCAGGATTTACATGCTAACCAGCAAAGACAGGAATGATACAGTCAGCAGGCACAAAGAACACAAAGTTCTGAAACTCAGATTGCCACCCCTGGTCTGGGTATGTGATTCCCTTTCTGTCCTGATCTGTTGGCCTCCTTAGTCCTGGTCTTGTCCGTTGTCTGACATCTTCTAACTTCCTTTTGTCACCTGCTTTCTCACCTTGTTGATGGATTCAGCAGAACCGATTCTGAGTTGTGTGGATCCAGCCCTTAAAAGGGCCCCTGTTAGGCTTTGGGCCATTTTGTGCCTCTCACAGGTAGGAAACAAATTGTCACACACGGCTTAGTCTTGATGATAGGCGCACACGCTGCCCCAGGCACATAGCTCCACTGTGAAGCCCACGTGAGCTCAGTGCAGCACAACCTGCAGGCCTGTTACAGCGAGTCCTTCTAGGTTTGGGGGTCGGACAGAATTTCACAAAGTGTGGCTCCAGCACTAGGGACTCATGGAGTGGAGGTACAGGCGTTCAGTCCTGCAATGCTGTAGCTGAGACTGTGCGGTTGTCAAGCAGGGGCTTTTCAAAGGAGAAGGGTACTCGAGCTGAGTCTGAAAGTGAGAAAAGTCATGAGGCAGGGCAGGAGTTCCAGCCTCCCGGTGCTTCTGCCCCGGGTCCTTCAGGCACAGAACTGGACAGTCATGCTCATCGCTTTACAGCCCAGTGGTCTGAGAGCTCTTAGTGGCCAGAGCACACCAGCCCCAGCAGTCTCTGACCCTCAGCCACATGCAGTGGTCACTGGCTGTGGACAGCTACTGCCACAGAGAGTTCTGTCAGGTGCGTCTTGGTGCTTGATGTGGCTGTGAGGGATACCTTGACCCCTAATAGAAACTAGTACTCAGAGTTTTTCATTGAACAAGTTACCCATTACCTCAGGATACCTGGCATTCTGGAAAATTCCTGAACTGTATCGAGAGTGGAAGTAAATCCCTAAACGCCCTGTCTCGGGTTCTTCCCTCCACCCTCTGGGCTCCTGCGTCAGCCCCTGGGAGTTCCCGCTTCGCCGTGACTTCAGCCTGGGCTGATGGACGTTTTCTACCGTTTGTATTTTGTGCTCTGCCATATTAGGTGGATGCTGTCCGATACCCTTAACTGACCTTGTGCCCAGCTTGCTCTTCCCTTGGCCATTTCTTCACGTGTTTTCCCAGATCAGGTTAAGAGTCTCCTGGGAAGCCGTAATACCAGCTGGTTAAGTATTCTCTGTGCTTCCAGAGCGGCTCTGTCCTTCACACATCACAGTGAAACATCTGTTTGTGTCTCTCTCAGTATCAGACAAAGAGTTTCCTAAAAGTGTATTTTATCTGTTGATCCCTGACCACCAACATCACCCCGTGGCTTGTGAGCATTGGTGCTGGCAGTTAAACTGAGATTTCTTAGCTCTTTGGCGTCCTGATCCTGCCTGGTTTCCTGACTTGAGGCTGGCCTCTTCAGCAGCTGTGGGGCCTGTCCGTGTTTAGAAACACCTGGTTCATGGTTTCTTGGCACAAGGATGAATCGGTCTCTAATCAGTCCCTGTGACCTGAACCATAGTGTTTGCCCCCTTACCCTTCGATTTGTGTGTCCTGTCTCACTCCGTATCCCAGCTGCTCGACTTCTTGCCCTTTGTTTCCTGGCATAGCTTTCACTTTTAGAGACAAGGGAGTGGGGATGTTGGCATCTGTAGCAGTGTGTGAGACTTGCATCTGTGTACACATGTGAAGGACATTCACTCTGGGGAAGCAGCTCCTCTGGCTCTCAGATGATGCCAGGATGGTGGGCACCCCTGAACAGACCCCTGAGAAGGCAACCCTGCACATGTTCAGGCCCACACAGGTCCACTTGGCTGCGCTGCAGAGGGCGCAAAGCTATGGCTAGGCCCTCTTTTCCAAGGGTTTTGTCCTGATGATTTTCCAAGTATTGGTGTTGTAGATGGACAGAGCTTGCCTGGTACTTGGAGATCTTATTAACATTACGCTCCCACATTGGTGACCAGGGTTTGGATCCAGCTCGAGTCAACGTCCCTGTGATTGGTGGCCATGCTGGGAAGACCATCATCCCCCTGATCTCTCAGGTATGTGTGTATCATTGCAGGATGCCTTTAGAACCAGAAATTCTTTAAGAGGGTCCACTTGAGACTCTGAAGGCAGACTGAGCAAAATTGAACCAGCAGCAGTCTATATTGAAAGTCTCTGGAGTGGGGGCCTCCCGCCCCCAGTCTGACTCCTGTGAGGATTTTGTGGCTGGGCCTGGCAGCATCCTGTGTGGCCTGAATGTGGCCAGAAGGGCCTCTCTGACACTGCAGCACACAATGAAAACTTTCTTAGAACATTACTGATTCCTGAGTGGCCCTTAGTTATATTTACAAGGGAGTAGAGCCAAGGAGAATAGAGCAGATTGAGTTGAGCCCCATCAAATCATTCATTACAGACCAGTGTTGAGTGGTTAGCCGGTGCTGGAGGGCAGGAGAAGGGGGAGTCACTGTTTAGGAAACATTGACTTTCTCTTTATGGTGATGAAAATTTGGCAAAAAAATGCAAGGGAGGAGGAAACAAACATAGGTTGACAAATGTGTATTTATTTTTGCAACAATAGAAACACCAACCTCACAACCCCTTAATATGATCCACAACATTTTTGTGGTCGTCTTGCCAAAATTAACGTGCTTAGAAGAAAATCGTCAGGAACAATGGACGTGCTGTTTTCAGAAGCACTAACCATGTGCTTTATTTGTAGCACATGATTCGTGCTTTTGGAAATAGCTGTGAAAGAGTGAGGACCTGTCTGAGGTTGAGCAGAAAGAACTGAATGTGATGTGAGAGCCCGCGACAGAAGAAGAGACAGTGGGGAGTTGAGTGAACGCTGTAGTTAATAGTATACATACATTAACTTATTTGTCTTAATTGTACTGTGGTTATATAAGTTCTTAGCGGTAAGGTAAACTGGGAGGATGATATCTACTGTTATTACAACTGTTTTCCAAGTCTAGTTTACGTGAGCAACTCGATAAATCTCAGAAGTTGGCTTGTCTTTCTGAAAAGGCCTTGGTTTTGGTGTCATAGTGAAGTGAGGCACAGCAGGACTCGGGGTGGCTTTGACTTTGAGGACGAGCCCATCTGCTCACGGACCACCTCTCGCTTTGACCTCCAGTGCTCTCCCAAGGTGGACTTTCCCCAGGACCAGTTGACCGCCCTGACTGGTCGCATCCAGGAAGCGGGCACCGAGGTGGTGAAGGCTAAAGCCGGAGCAGGTAGATCCACGGGGTGACACTTGATGGGCGCGATGATCCCGAAGCCCTCAGCCGGAAGTCGAAGGCCAGTCCTGTCTTTGCAGACCTTGACAAGGAGTGGATCATTTTCGGATGCACTTCTATCCAGTAATGAGAGAGCAGCAGTTTGCTTTGTGGACTGTGGCTTCATGAGGTTGACAGAGCTCACTATGCTGTCTATGAATATGTAAAAAGCGGGGGAGGAGGTTTATGATCCAACTTCTTGATCTGAAGCAGGAAACTATGCATTAGGTGGCAGGGTCGCCCAGCCTGGATTCCGCACTTGGAGTTCTCACTTGGCCAACCCACCTCTCTCTCCTCCTAGGGTCCGCCACACTGTCCATGGCATATGCCGGCGCCCGGTTTGTCTTCTCCCTCGTGGATGCCATGAACGGAAAGGAAGGGGTTGTTGAGTGCTCCTTCGTCAAGTCCCAGGAGACAGACTGCACCTATTTCTCCACACCACTAGTGCTGGGGGTATGTATCCTGGAGGTGGGATCTTTGGGTTGGAAGGAAAGATGCCTGTAATGAAGGTTCAGGAGTTCTTCCCTGTCCGTTGCTCCATAATTTGCCGTGTGCCATGCTGCCAGCACTTCATGGGATGGACTTGGGTTTTCAAAGATGAGGGTGGCATCGCGGGATTATGAGCAAGCAGAAGCTCAGTCGTGAGCCTCCCGCGCGTGGGTCTCTGCACCAAGGATTTGACAGCTGGCTGCCTCATCTGTCTGGGAGTGTTTCCCGATGGCACACTCCCTGTCACAAGGCAGTCCACGGGCAGCCCTGAGAGGAAGCGCTTCCCGGCATTCTCCGGTGTGAGCCCGGGAGCTTGGTTCTGACATTGGGAGCTGCAGAGTCCAGTTCCTCCTGTAGGTGGATCCTCAGGTGCTGGTTCACTGCTGGCCTTTCCAGTCCCTGTGTTTCTGGGTCCTTGCATCTCCCCTTTCTGGCTTTCTTTCTAGAATGTACTGTTCTTTGTGGGTTATCCCTTAGCTTAGGACTGAGCCCGTGTGGTCACATTCTGGGTTCAGGTGGCCGATGTACAGCATGGTTGGCTTACTGAATCTTCATTGATGAGGAACCTCCAGGCCTCACTCACATAAGCAGACTGGAATTCCATCCGTTATCTGGGGGCAGCCAATGCCTGGCTGTCTTCATCTCATGCCTGGAAAGAAATGGCTTTGTGACTTCTTGAGTCACCCAGAGATCATTCCCATAGATAGCCTTGTATTTAAAGATTCTATAGGCGTGACCCGAGGCCTCCGTCCAGTAAGAGCTCGGAGCAGGTGCACAGGGGACGAGTAGGAAGCACGCTGTGCCTTTCACGGATCAGGACAGCTGCACAGAGGAGATGATGCCTAACTGTATCTGAGGCTGCTTCTGTGGCAAAACCATCCTCAGGTTTGCTGAGATACAGGGCAGCCTCACCTGGACGTCACAGTGCAGTCCTAGGTCGGCTTACCTGCCTGCGCCCTCCCAGGCTTAACGCTAACGACATAGGAAGTGAAAACAGGGACAGAACTAGCTTCTGCTTGGCTTTATCGGAGGGCATTGACCTACTTGATTATAGCTGATTCTGATAAATGCTAAATTTTTTTTTCCCTTCAGTCCTTGACACACTTGGGGAAAAGTCAAAGACTTGGAAGTGTGTTCCATGTTGGAAGAGTAACAGTAAATGCTGCTATCAGTTATTTCATGTTCCGGGCATTGTGTTAAGTCCTCTGAATGGGTTCTCACAACCTCTTTTGAGGTAGACAGTATGTCTTTCTTATAGTTAGGAAAGTGGAGCTGGAATATGTCATTTTTCCAGAATCCGACATACAGTATATGATAGGGCCAGCATCCCAGCGTAGGGCCTAGCTGATGCTAAAACTTTCATTCCTGACCTGCCCTCCCTCAGCCTGGTGCGTGCTGCTCTTGCTCGCCCTCTGCTGTCCAGAACCCGCAAGCGGAGTCCTAGCCAGACCAGGTTCTTTCTGAAGCTTATTTCTTCATGGAGGCTCTGCTATATAATTGTCCTGCCTTCCTGACAGATCAGTGGCTGCCAGGGGCTGGGGGTCTGTGGAGTAGAATGGAATGACTGGCTAGTGGGTGATGAAAGTGGCCTAGGATTACTAGTGGTGTTTATTCAGCGTTTTGAGAATACAGGGGTTTAGCTGGCAGGTAGATTCTGGCTCGTCAGGACCCAGTGGGCCAGAGTAGACCTTCTAGAAGGTTTCCTAGTCAGAAGCAGCTGCCGCCTTTTCTCTGTGGATTTGGCTGGGGAGGTTCGTACCAGAGCTTCAAATAGAAATGGCCAGTTTAATGATCGACAACAGCTGACCTTATTTGTGGCCCACGGGTGGTTTAAACCACTGTATCACCAGGGCTGTGAATGAACCGGGAGCCTCCACGTTGTACAGTTGAAAGTTGCGTCAGTGGTAAATTTTGTGTCATGTGTGTCTCGTCACCTTCTCTCTCCAGAAAAAGGGCATCGAAAAGAATCTGGGCATCGGCAAGATCTCCTCCTTCGAGGAGAAGATGATCGCCGAGGCGATCCCCGAGCTGAAAGCCTCCATCAAGAAAGGGGAGGATTTCGTGAAGAACATGAAATGAGAAAGCAGCCCGAGCGCGCCTGGTTGGTTTCCTTAATTTATTAAGGCATCATGTCACTGAAAAGCCATTTCAGATCCATCTGTATTTGTATTTGCTTTGATGATGTTTATTGTATTAACATCATCTCTTCCAAATTGCTGGCTGGCCTCTTGATACACCAATAAAGCAGGTTTTGATTTTCTTTTTCAAGGTCCTCTCTCTAAACATTGTGTTTTCTTCCCCGAGATCCACCTTCACTGTGCCCATCACCTGGTTTCATTCACAGTCACAAGTGCGTGTTATTTTAATATGCAACTTCACAACTGGCATCAAACCAAAATACTTAATTCTGAAATAGAAGGAATTATTCAGAGTCTGAAGGAATTCTGTGGCGTGACCAGTGTTACCCTGCTAACCACAAGGCCACACATGCATCTCCAGTGGTTCGAGTCCACCAGGCGCTCCCTGGACAAAGGTGGCTCGGCTCCCCCGAAAGCCAGCAGCTTCGGAAACCCCACGGGGAGGGTCCCTGTGAATCAGAATCAGCTCACTGGCGGGGAGTTTATTCATACTATATCAGTTTTAAAAATCTAAATCATAAAACACAACATTGTATATGTACTGAAATTTCAAGTAGCAAAAGAAATGAAGCAGGTGGGGGACACTGAAAATAGTTGTTCTCTGTAATTTTTCACTAAAATTTCCTAAATTGAGACTATACTGCATTTTGTAACCTCTTGTATCATGGCATAATAAACCACCCCCAAACTTAGTTGCTGAAGACAACAGGCATTTTCTCTCCCCGTAGTCCTACGGGCTGCCTGCGGTGGGTGGCTTGGCTTTTCTGTGTTACATCAGCTCAGGGTCCAGTCATCTAGAGGTTTGAGTGGGCCAGGACAGCAGAGACGAGCCCCTCTCATCACTGCTGTTTGGGAAATGTTACAGCAGCTGGGTTTCTCCTTTTCCACTGAGCCTGTAACAGGTTGGCCAGATTTCCTTCTGTGACGCCTCGAGGTTTCCAAAAGTATAGAAGGCACCAGATTTTTTAAGGCTTCGGTTCCCAACTGTTAAAGCAGCGTGTTCTCTGAATAGAAATAAATCACAAGGCAAGCCCAGATGCATTGTGGGTAAGGGTTTCACCAGGGCAGGAGTGTAGGGGTCACAGTTCTGGAGGGCCAGCTTTAGAAGCACCTGCTGTTTTAAGTCTAGGGAAGTGATCAGGAGATCCGGTGGCCTAGTGGGTAAGGAGTTGTGCTGCCAGGCCAGAGGCAGAAGGTTTAAATCCACCACTGCTCCCAGGAAGAAACCCTGTATGATTTATAGCCTGTGGAAATTGGCAGGAGGGTCAGCCAAGGGTCGACTCTACAGCAATGAATGAAATAGAAGTCTTTTCCTATGTCAGTGATTGGGTGGCTAACCTTAGAATAATTGGGCGGGTTAGGTTTTCATTCCTAGACAGAGTAGTGAAAGTGTACATCAGTCACTTGGAAAAGTAAGTTTTGAGTTGGTTCTAATGCAAGTCAAATACTTTTGGATAGGGGAGCTCTGGTGGCCTAGTGGCAAGGAGCTGCAACTACAATCCCAGAGGCGCACGGTTCGAATCCACCAGATGCTCTGCCGGGGAAGGAGGGACAATCTCCTCATGTACCAGTCAGATCTGATTTGACCGTACACTCTCACAAAAATAATTTAAAAAAATACTTTTGGTTTTCATTATTTTCAGCGTCTTTCTCAGACATGGCCTTGAACTTCGTCAGCCAATGACAGCACTGTGTGTAGTTAGAGGTTACTGATGGTGCCCACCACTATCTTTCACCAGATTCTGACTCGGTGACCCTCTGTCGGGTTTCTAAGGCTCTGTGTCTGATTTATGGGAGGACACTGCCCATGTTTTTCCTTGCAGAGCAGCTGGAGGGCTCAAATGTTTTACCTTTGTGTTGGCAGCCCAGTGCTCAGCCTAATACACACCAGCAAATCTTTAAAAAAAATAGTTGTAAGTGCAGTTCACCAACTTGAAATGGGGTAAATCGGAGACCACCTCAATTTCCTCATGGTCTGTAGGCAGAGGGAGCGCTGGTGACCTAGTATGTAGGTAGTTCTGCTGTTGACATGCAAGCCAGGCCTCTGCCTGTTCAGATCTACCAACAGTTTGCCAGAAAACGTCCCATGCCCTGTATCCCCTCTGAAACCCGCTGGAGGAGCAGTGTGAGGTGATTCTGACTCTGTAGCAATGCGTTTTGAGTTCTGCAGACAGTGTTGTGCTCGTCTGGGATGTGTTTGCTTCCATGAACTGCTTGCAGCCACTCCTGATGCCAGAGACTAGTATAAGATGAGTCAGATTTGTGTCTTGGTTTAAGGACATACATGGGCCATCAGGGAGCACTGGTGGCCTAGTGGCAAGAAGCTGCACTGCAATCCTGAAGGCACATGGTTCATTTCCACCCACTGCTCCACACAAGAAGGATGGGCAGTCTCCTCCCGTGTGGTTAACTACCTCTGAAAACCTGCTGCGGGGTCAGCGATGGGTCGGTTTTGACCTCGATGGCACATAACAACGTCCATTGGGAATTGAGCTGCTCATGCAAAGGCCATGTGTTCTCATCCACCAGCTTCTCTGAGGGACGTAGATGGGCAGTCTCTCCTTGTGCGATTTAGTTGTCGAGTCCACTGAAGGGTCGGCTGTGAGTAGGTTCCAACTGGAGAGCAATGAGTTTGAGGGGTTTTCTGAGTTCTGACTTAAGGTGGTGGTTATGCAACCCCACATACCAGCAGTTCTTGCCCAAGAACCTTCTAAGAAGCTTTGTCCTCTGAGATTCTCACCCGGCGTTAAGAAAGGGTGGGCCCAGGATCTAAGAGTAACAGCTTCGTCCAGGTGCTGCTGAGGAAGGAGGGTGAGACGTGCACATTGGAAACACTGGGTTGGATCTTCCACAAGACAGATGATCCGCGGAGGAAAACGCAGCTGCAAGACTGTGGGACTCCAGAAGAGGGCGCGGTAGCCTCTGGAACTCTTGGCAGAAGTGACCGGCAGGGGGGATGTCCAGAAGGTGGGACGAGGAGAAGCTGGCATTCGCACCGGCCTGCAGGCTGGGCAGGATGCTAGCTGGCATGATGACTGGAGTGGGCACTGCAGGTGGCAGCAGGAGCAGGCTGGGTCTAAGTTGGGTTTGCAAAATGACTGTGTTCAACTTTACCCCGTGGGCTGTCAGAAGGGATAGGACGCTGGAGGTGCTGAGCAGGGGGAGGACACAGTCGTAGGGTAGCGTCACCCGCTCTGATTTGGGGTATCTCCCATTGACGTTCAGGAGCCTGGAGAGGGACCTGAGAGAGTACATTTCTGACCTGTTCCCCAGTGACGCCTATGTCCACGTCAACAGACCCCCCAGAATAGGAGAGATGTGGAACAGAGATCGCCCAGGACACTTGGCAGTGGAAGAGTTGAGGGCTGGAAAATGGGGTAACAGCTGGAGCGGAAAGATAGATAAAACATCAGCCTCCCCTACCTCCGTCTCCACCCCCAGTCATCAGGCCGCCCCAACTAGCCCAGCCTTGGCCCTGCTTTCAAGCTCCAATTATACCTGAAGTGGCCTGCCGTCCTGCCTTTCATCAGCTCCCAACACGACTCCCCCTACGCCCCCTTAGTGAGGATCAAAGATCATCGAATGAGTATATGGTGCTAATGACTAATGAGAAGACAGGCCCGAGCTGGGGGAGCGGGAAGCAGACTCCTGTGAGCCCAGGGCAGGCTGGCGTGGAAGCAGTGGGAGCCCGCAGCGGAGGTAATTAGATAGCGAAGCAGTTGGTCCTGCAAAGAAGCCGCCGCTGAAGTCCTGGGTCGGCACTGCCAAGCTGGGTAATTAGGAGGCAACTGGAGTATTGCAGCCTCCCTGCTCAGGCAGAGGGAATCAACTACTTAACCTCAAATGACCCTGACCTCCAGCCATCAGGAGGGACTTGCTCTCTGCCCAGGCCCAACATCTTTGCAGTTCTCTGAAGCTGCCTGGAGAGGGAGCTAGAAGCTGCCACTGCCCTCCAGCTGCTTGGGTCTGGCTAGGTGGGGGAAGGATCAGCATTGCAGAGCCAAACCTGCCTCCCATCCTGAAGGGTGTGTGGCAAAGAGGGCGAGTAGGGAGTAGATAAGAACTCTGGGAGGTGGTGACAGCCGATCCCCAGGCTTGGACGCAGGGCCTGGCCCCAGATCTCAGGATAGCTGGCCACAGGGAGGGGACTCTGCAGAGAACTCCGTCTGCCAGTCTGGCACATGAAAGGTGAGTTGGCAGAGCTGCTCCTTCTCCGGGAGCAACTTCCTTTATCCAGCACCTCAGGCTGCTCATGTCCCCATGTGCCCAGTTAGGGCAGCGCTCCTGGGCGACCCCTGAGGGTGGGTGGTGGGGTGGATACAGCGAATGCAAACCCAGGCAGCTAGGTGAACAGGAACGGTCATTTGCCACCACTCCGGGCTCTGTCACCAGCACTGGGCTGAGCCTTCCGTCCCCTCCTGGGGGGGCCCTTGAGCCCGGGGTCTTTCTGCCTTCCAGAGGAGTCTTTTCAGGACATCACCTGTTGTTAATAACTCAGGGCTCACGCTGGATCTCCTCAATTAACCCACTTTTCCTCGGCAGCCCCTGTCGCTCCTTGCCCGTGTCCTGGCCTTTAGGAGCTCTGCCTGGGCAGCCCTCGCCCCCCGCAGCCCGCGCAGACCACCCCCTCATGGGCTTCGTCCCCCCTCTTCGCTTCCTCCCAGATGCTCACATTGCCTCCGCAGTCTGGCAGGGTCACCTGGGGGCAGGCAGAGCAGATGCCGGGAGGCTGAGCAGGTCGGCTGTTTCACAGCAGGCCCGCTGAAGTGGTGGTTGAAATGATGAAATGTGTCCACCTACAGAAAACAGCCACTGTCCTGGTCCATCTGGAAACCTCCCCACCCCAGACCGCCCCACAGCACCTGGTACTGTGGTGTCTCCAACAGTGACTGGCCAGTGTCCAAGGAAGTCTAGTGTGGCTCCGCGTGAATCCAGCGCCCCTCCTGCAGAAGACCCGAGGAGGAGAGCTACTGACCAAGTGCAATGTCCGGAGCTGACCCCTCGCCCCACTCGACCCAGCGGCCAGCCCGCTGCCAGCTTGGAGCTGAGTTCAGTGTTACCTGCCTGAGTCTCGCTCCCTAAGGGCCAGAACTGTAAATGATGTACTGAGCTGACTCAGCTGGTTCTCCACAACCTACTC